TCAAAATCAAAATCAAAATCTCGATAGATTTACATTTAGGATTTTGAAGCACAAAATTACACTGGCTGATTTCTCCAAGGCTGTGGTGAAAGGTGGTGAATAACATTTAGATTTGAACGGCTCATCCGGTAAAGAAGGTTGTGGTAGCTCCCACACAGGGATAGATGCTATACCGTGGTGCAGGAGGTTCCAGCTGCGGTGGATAACGATAGTTAAATTCCGGTATACGTGAATAAGATTCCAGCAGTGAATAAGGTGCTGCATGACATTCAGATTCCAGCGGCTCCGGTGAATAAGATGGTGCATGACATTCAGATTCCAGCGGTTCTGGTGAATAAGGTGGTGCATGACATTTAGATTCCATCGGCTGCGGTGGTGCAGAGGTCAAGATTGTTTCCGTCAAAGCCAAGGCGTCTTCTTGCTTCGACATCAAGCAAGCTCTTGGAAAGTCTCTAATTTGAGGATTTTAATGTACGGAGACATTTATATATAGAGGAACTTTTGCTCCTATTGCTTGTAAGTTTTCTATGTGGGACTCTCAAATGCTACAGATTTTTAAAAAATCTATTGGGCTTTATTGGGCATGTAATAATATTTGGTGTTTTGGGCTCAAAACCTTAAATTTATGTACTAACTAAAGAGTAAACCGTAAAGAAGATGCTAACAAGCAACAATCGAAGAACAAACAAAATAGTATTAAGGAGAGATGAAAACTATATCCATACCTCCACAAGTCGAGCTTTGCTTTCCAAGGCATCAATTTCAATTTGCAGCTGCATCTTCCTTTCAAGGTTATCAATCTCCTCAGGTTGGCTATCAAGTTGGATTCTCACAATGGCACAAGCCTCATCAATCGCGGTTTTAGTGGTATCATAAATCTATGAAAAACTAGCACCATCTCATTCGCGCTAAGATATTTTCTAACAAAGTCAATTAGACTATCAGGCCTTGTGGTCAGGGTCTGCACTGGATCCAAGCTGGACAAACCCATATTTGCGGCCTTCTAAAACACAAAGTCGGCTTTGCTTGTGGTTCAAAAAGATGGTAAAATTGCTCTTGAAATTTTTGTTGAACAAAGGTACAGTTACACATGTCGCGGACCCATTGGTCAAGCGTGTGAACCAAAACAAAATAAAAATAAAAAAATCTCTTCTCAAGCCCAGCTTAAGCATTAATGGGCTATAATGGGCCGATTCGATCACTTGGAGAGCTCACGAAGCCATAGAGAGTAGAGAGACCGTGCCTCTCATCTTATCTTCTTCCTTGTACGGAATCTCGAGTTCCCAGCGACAATGGCGTTATCGGTTTCTAACCTCGCGTCTTCACTCTCTTCGCTCTCGTTCTCCTCCCAGGTTTCTCAGAGATCGAACACCGTTTATTTCCCCCGCGCGAACTCGGTGTTCTCATTACCGGCGAAATCCGCTCGTCGTGTTTCTCTCACGGTTACTGCGACGGTGGCTGCTCCCGAGGCGGCGGAGGATGAGACGATGGAACTGAAGAAATACGTGAAATCGAGGTTACCTGGAGGTTTCGCAGCTCAGAAAATCATTGGCACGGGAAGGCGAAAGTGCGCCATCGCTCGAGTCGTGCTTCAGGAAGGTACCGGGAAGGTTATCATAAACTATCGCGATGCCAAGGTAACTTATCTGTGTTCTAAATCAATTTCTTATTCGCTTTCTTATTTCTGTTCGATGATTCGAGGATGATACACTGTTAATGGTTGTTTGATGTGTTCGCTTAGGCCTTGATTTCTGGGAATTTTGGGGTTTACACAGCTGAATCATCCGCTCGTGTATGGGGTTTATGTTATTGAGAGGTTGAATTTGAGTTTCGGATTAGGTATTTCGA